ATGTACCTATTGTTAAGTGAGCTTTATGTGCAGTCATAGGAACAATGTCTTCCAACTCTTAACCTGCCCTAGTTTCCTTTAATTAAAGAAACTGGTGAAGATTCTCACTCATCCAGGTCCGAGTCATTCCAAAAAAAGTTAAAAGAAAACAATCCACTGGACTTTGTTTCCAAGTTTGAAGATGTTTTAACTTACCATCCAGGAAGCTTTTTCAATTCAAAATGTCAGAATTTCAAACTCATTCCAGTAGCATTCAAAACAGATAATTTATTCACTTCGAATCTACCATGCCCCCCCTGAAATTACACAGAGCTATTGTTATTTTGGGGGTCACAGGCCATACTGTACTAAACCATGGGACTGTTTACTGATTTGCCTAGTGGAAAGCATGATGGCGGCTCTGATGCTGTGAGAATGTTCTCTACCAAAGGTGCCTTGGAGCAGTTTTAGATTGCACTCCAACGCAAATCTGATCAAATCATCTCTTTTTGTTTAAACAAAAAGATGGTTCATTGGAGACCTGTCTCTTTTTTAGTACAAAACATATCAATTAAGGTAGGGCTGATTACCATATTCAATGCACTTAGCAACACTATGCAAAGCTGTGGGAGTTCTACTTCTCGCCACATGTGGCTATCCTTAACAATAACCTGCACCATTTTGTGTTAATCAGCATGCAGTAGAACCCCATTTGTTTCCCTGCAGGTGCTTTTCAGCTGAACTGAATGCGGGATCCTCTTCAAATGTAGCCTGCTGAAAGTACATTCACCATCCAGGTGCAAGACAGGCGGCCTCCTTAGCTCCGTCGAGTCAGTTTACGTGGCTCAGAGATGCAGATCCGAGCATTTTGTTGGCTTTCCTTGCATTTCCATGCTGGAAGATGATAATGTGATGCGCTGCACGCCTATTCAAGCTCGAAGTAATATCATTTGCAGTGTTTTCATCTCTGCCTTCAGCGCAAGCACCATAAAGCTAATCACAGCTCTTGGCTTTTGGTTTCGGGAAGGGCAAAGGGGGGAGGATGAGAGAGGGCTAAGCAGGGGCTAATGGCATTTAAAGGATGGGGAACCACTCCCATTACTTATTATAATGAAAAGCTAATGCATACAACTTGTGTGAGGCCCAGACTTGTGTATAGAAATAGATGGACAGATAGATAGATGATGGATGGAGTATTTCAATATTTTGCGCCGTTAAAAAACCATCCAGCGCCTTTGGCTGTGAAATCCTTCCTCTGGGTGATATCACGCAGAGGACACGTAGCCCTCATTGAGTTAATTAAACCTCAGCGAAATGGCATAAAAGAATAAAAGTCCAAGACCGGTCGAGTGAGGCTGCTGTAAAAATGCAATTTTCTAGTTATAGAGTTGTTTCATGCACTGAAAAGAGGTTTCATAGGAATTCAAATAAAAATGGTAACAGCCCAGACGTCTTATAAAATTGGCTCCTTTTTTTTAACCTACCTTTGTTCATTTCATATGAAACCATGTTTCAAGCTATTTGGCCTTGCCATTGCCTCCTTTTAAATTCATTTTGAGAGATGACATTTAGATATGAATAAAAAAACACTTAGTTTTCTATCAAGCTATGCGTCTATACTTAGAAGATGAAATATATCCGTCAATGTTAGGGGGAAGAAACTGATAAAGTTACTGTTTTGAGTAATGAAAAAGATATATGTAGCTTTAACAGGTTGAATTCTTCTAGAAAGGTTTTCCCCATAGTCTAGGTGTTTGTCTATGGACTTCCTTGAGCATTTAGAAGTACATTTGGTCAGACTCTGATTTTGGATTAGAAGTATCCGAGACGTTAAAGGTACATAGTCAAATTATATACCTATACCAAAAACACCAAAACCCACTTGAGTGTCATGATTGGTTTAAGGAATCTGACCCAAATGCAGGGAAACCGCCCAGAGACCACGGAGAAAAGTTCAACAGGTTTATTAATGGTAATCAGGACAGGGGGTGGTTCTGGAAGTCAGTGAACTGGTGAACCGGAACTGGAAAGTCTTAAGGGAAAATCACAGAGATCAGTTCAGGGACCGTAGGAAATGAGATTGTGGCTTGAATTATGCAGGTAAGGGACTCACGTTTGAGGGGGCTCTTGTCAATCCTTGAATCCAGTCTGTGTGGAATTCCCAGAGAATAGGGAACTCGTTGGAGGGCAGACAGGTAGACATACGTAGGTCCCGGAGGAGTAATGGAGCGGACTGTCAATTGGATTTCCGATGGGAACTTGAACGGGTCATGTGGAGGTTTTCCCCTGCTCAGTGTGAACTCAGTGGTTCCTTCCAGGGGTAGAAGGTCCAGATAACCATTTATACAGGAAGGCTTCCTGCCAAAGAGCAAAGACAAAAACAACATAAGTCTCAGAGAAACAAAGCTCAAGTTAGACTCTGCTAATCTCAGATTGGCTAGAGTACCCAAAACTGGCAAACACTCTGGCGCCGAGGTAGTGACAGCCCAATGCTCAAATGCTCCTCCAGTAATGGTCCAATGAGCCGCAGGTGTGCAGGGAGGCCCAACAAGAACCCCAACAAGAACAGGGCACCACCTGGTGGTGTGGGGAACGAAAACACACAAAAAGGATTCCTAACATTGAGTTTGATCAAATAAGACTTTATACTCAAAGCTTTTGTTCCCGTAAATTTTGATTGCCCATTGATGAGCCAGCATAAGAGGATGTGACGCCATCTACCAGCAGTAACGCTGAACTACCAGACACCCTTAAAGACCCAGCTACCAAATAAATCCTGACTTTGTCAACTGTGCTGTAATACCTCACAAAAACCAACAGCTATTAGCACTATTAGCAAGGACTTTTCCTCGCATGTCCATCAACTTCACAGAGTCATTAGAATGCTTCATGAGGTTTAGCTTCAACTTTAGTTTACTCCAATGGTAATACTGTTCCCCCAGCTTAAATTGTATCCTTCTTGAAATCAAAATTTTTTACACTGGATATTTTCTTTCCTTTTTTTGCAATAATTATTCGCTTCCATTGCTTTGGCTTGTTGACATGTTGTTTGCATGTGCAGCGACAGTACTAGTCAAACAATGTTATATATGGTTAATATACCCAGAAAAGCTGTTTTTAGTTACAAACTGTCATGATCAGTTTTACAAATCTGACTCACATGCAGACAAACCACTCAGAGAACACGGAAAAAGGTTAACAGGTTTATGGAGGCAGCGCACATGTGTTGAATCTGTTACTCAGTGAGCTGGTGAACCGGTACTGAAAGTGAGAAGGGCAGTTCAGAGGTCAGTTCAGGGACCGCAGGAATCTTGGATGTTGTTAGATAATGCTGGAATGGGACTCAGGTTTGAGGGGGCCTTGTCAGTCTTTGAATCCAGTCTGTGTGGGGGAATCTAGAGAATAGTGCACATGTTGGAGGACGGACAGGTAGACAAGCGTTGGACCCGGAGGAGTAATGGAGCGGACTGTCACTCGGATTTCTGATGGGAATTTGAACGGATCATGTGAAGGTTTTCCCCTGCTCAGTATGAACTCGGTATTTCCTTCAAGGGGGAGAAGGACCAGGTATCCAGTTAAACAGGAAGTCTTCCTGCTGAGTAAACGAAGACAAAAGAACATAAGTCTCAGAGAAACAAAGCTAGGTTAGACTCAGCTAATCTCAGCTTGGCTAGAGTACCCAAAACTGGCAAAGACTCTGGCGTCGAGGTAGTGACAGCCCACTGCTCAAATACTCCTCCAGATAATGGTCCAATGAGCCACAGGTGTGCAGGGAGGCCCAACGAAGACAGACCACCTCCTGGTGGTGGAAAAAGGGAAACACACAAACAGACCACACAAATTGGATTTCTAATACAAACTGAGCAAAAGCTAAGCTTAGAAGAGAAAAATAACAAATACTACACCAGCAGGACTCTGTAATTTGTTACAAAAAATGGCTGCTACCAGAGGGAGTACTGTTCTATACATTTTTAAAAATTCAAATTACATAACTATCTACCTTTAAAAACAAAATAAGTTGTCCCTCTGAATCTTCTTCTTTTTTTCTATTTTTGTTTTTACCAGAAGCAGACTAGTGATAGACATTATGCGGTTGCAGATCAAATGTTCTGTTGGAATTGGAAAGCTGGTTGGACTTGTTTGAACAATAGATGTAGCCAAATACAGAACAGTCTTTGCAGAAAGCCTCATAGAGACAGCAACAAAAATTATAATTAGGAGGGAGATTCAATGTTTGACTGCACAATAAGACTAGCTATCCAGCCAAGTTGGGTTTACTCTATTTTAGTGACTGTTTGTAATAAATTTAGCTTTTTATAAAAATAAAAAAATCTACAATAATTTCCATAAATACATAGTCTAATAACGACCGATTTTAAAATGAAAGAGTTCCTGTAGTTCAGATTAAGTTTTTGCACCCAATGGAGGGTGTTGCGTTGCCATCTTTCATTATGGTAGCTGAAAATGGACAAATTTGTTAGCCTTATGCATTTTACCTGTATATTAACATGTGTCATCAGTAGACGAGTATTAAAACACATTCAAAGAAGACAATAGATTGTAACTGTTCAAAAGTGAAAATATATATAGTTTTTTCCGCCTGTCTTTTCGTTAGGGAATGGTAAAGACCCTTGCTAAAGAGCTGAACGGTGAGGTTTCCTGCTTTTATTTTGAAATTTCCGGAGAATTTCAAAATAAAAGCGAGGTTGATTTGAAGCTTTTCTAAAGTAAAAGCTACAGCAGCATTGATAAACTCCCCAGGAAGCAAACTAGTGTTGGTTTGCTGAAAACTTATGTACATGCACAATATACTCCCTACCAAACTCCTACCTAGGATAATAAATAGGTACTTGATAGAAATGAGTCTCTGTATTTGGATTGCTGGATGGAAAAGGGTATTTGGTCTATAAGACATTTTCTTAAAGGCAATGGAGGTTTGCTCTCCCATGAGGATTTTTCCTTACTGTATAATTTAAACTGCTCCTATGCTCAGTTTAACACTTTAATAAATTCTAATCCAGCAGCAAGCTATTCCTCAAGGCTTTGCAAACAACTTCCGGAACAAACTTCCGGTCCTGACAGTGCAGGAGACCCCATTTTGCAGGTCTGGAGCAAAGGGTCCCGACAGTGCAGGTCTGGGATCTGACAATGCAGTTCTGCAGCCAGATTCTCTTGGTAAGGTCTCTAGTTCAGATATAGCAAGCTTTAAAGTTCAAAGGATATAATTACTTTTGCAAGCTTTTAGATGCTGACTGGATGCATCAGAATGTCCTTACATGTTTTTTTGTTTTTTTTCCCACAAACTCAAATCTTTTCCACTTAAGAAGTTGGGTTGTGTAAACAATGCGTCAAAACTGGGTGAAGTGTCCAGAGAGAAGAGGGAGTGAAGTGACTCTTCATCTGGCTGTCAGCATTCTCCTCTTTGCCAAATAATACATCTGTGTCCCTCGATCTCTGTCTTTATACTCTCCAACTGCAATGCCTCTCTATTGAGGTTTTTGTGTCTTTTTCTGTTTTGTTGTTTTGGGTTTTTTTTTTTTTTTTCAGAGTGACCTCACTGAAGTTTCTTGGACTTAAAGTTGTTCATCTTTGCCAATTTTGTGAACAGAAAGTTCAATAAGTTTCAACAGCTCAGAATAAGAAAGAAGGACTTGAGAAAAAAATAAAAAAGAGGCTCTCTGTCGAGCCTTGAGTTGACATTTCAGTGCCATTACGGAGGTCCTTGTCATTTGTGATAAGATGACAGGGAAGCCGTAAACTGATGAGTATGTGGCATTTCTGACGTTGAAGGAGGAGGAGTTGGACATCCTCGAAAGAGTGCAATTAAGATTCCTAATGCAATCTGCACTCATCCCCAACTAACTACCTATATTGAACCAGATGAAGTCATGAAAAATGTTGCCTTTTCAAATAAAGTTCATGTGTATTCAAACAACCCCATTTGACCGCCGGTGTACCTTCATTATTTAAAAAAATACTCTTTTTCTGGCATTCTTACCCTCTTCTTGAGAGCTTAAACTCTTCTTTATTAATCCTGACCCAAATTATAATTTCATTTCTTTACATTGGTTTTCTCCTTTCCTTCCAAAATATTTATGAAGAATAGTAATATTCCTTATTAATATAATAATAAAATAGCATAATAAATTAAAATGTCTTGCATGTCAGACATATTTGACATGACAAACTGATTAAATCCAACATGAGGATTATTATCATCCCAGAAACCTATTTCTGTCATGGCATCACGAGGTTTTAAATGTGAAGCTTCCACAATTGAGCTTTTCCCACTGCAATTGTTTAACTTCCTTTACATACCGAGTCTGGATTTTAAATTGCAGTTAACTGCTAGTAGCTACAATTTTAGCTGTTAGCTACAATCGAATTAACAATTAGCTAAATTTAGCCAAAGTAGTTATATTTAAATCTAATCGCATATGCATGTAGCAGCAGTTTAGTAAAGCTTAACCACATTGAGCTGAAGCTAGCTAAGTAGGCACAGTTAGCTAAATACGTTTCCGTTAAATACAGTTACATTCCCTTTAACTTTCACCTGATAAAATCTAGATTAAACTATGAATTCTTTAAAGCATTCCTACAGTTATATCATTTGGAATACTATCTTATTTAATTTAATAAATGGCCCTTTTAGCCTCAGTTTAGCATAGGCTAACTAATCTCTTGTTTAAATGTATTACTTAGTTAATTAAGTTGACCCATTTTCTTACATATTATCAAATGAACAAATGGGGACAATTACAATTTCAATAATTTTTACAAATTTGCTGATGTGTAAACAATAAAAGTTAGATGTAACAGATTGAAAATGTTGCCCCTTACTGTCAGCATTTTCTAACAGTTGGCTATTGGGGAAAAAAAGTAATAGTAAAAGTATTTTGGGGCCAACAGTAACAGCTCTATTCCACCCTTTTTATCTACTTTTCCATCAGTCTATCATCTAATCTAAAATAGAGACATAACATAAAAAGGCTGCCAACTTTTCATGAAACCTTGGAGTGAGATTTTGAAAAAATTTGGACAGGCAACCCTTGCGATGCTTCAATTGAGAGGCTATAAGTATAGGTGCAACTATAAGTTGTAGGTTTTCAGAGGATTTAACCGAAACATAGTGGCAAAATGTGGCATTTTTATAGCACAGTACATGTTACTAAATAACAATAAATGATCTGTAGTTATGTGGATAGTTTCACACAATATACATTATTTTCTATATTCTGGTGATTTTCAGAGAATTAAAGTAAAGAAGAATGGGCCCAACTAAAATACTTCCTCTTAAATATACTGTAAATCAGGCGTCTTCAATTTTTTTTAAGGCCAAGGACCCCTAAACTGATGGCGAGATGGAGTGGGGACCCCCTAATTATATATACTGTATGAAATTGTGTTATGAAAAGTGGTCCTTTAGTCACTCTATTGCAGATAGAGTAATGTAATGAAAGTAATTTCTCCCTGGGATTATTAAAGTATTTCTGGTTCCTGGTTGATGGGACAGGTGTTGTGAATGAAACGGTGCCCAGCTTGAAAGAGCTCCTGTGTGTCGCTGAATGTGTGNAAAAAAGAGGCTCTCTGTCGAGCCTTGAGTTGACATTTCAGTGCCATTACGGAGGTCCTTGTCATTTGTGATAAGATGACAGGGAAGCCGTAAACTGATGAGTATGTGGCATTTCTGACGTTGAAGGAGGAGGAGTTGGACATCCTCGAAAGAGTGCAATTAAGATTCCTAATGCAATCTGCACTCATCCCCAACTAACTACCTATATTGAACCAGATGAAGTCATGAAAAATGTTGCCTTTTAAAATAAAGTTCATGTGTATTCAAACAACCCCATTTGACCGCCGGTGTACCTTCATTATTTAAAAAAATACTCTTTTTCTGGCATTCTTACCCTCTTCTTGAGAGCTTAAACTCTTCTTTATTAATCCTGACCCAAATTATAATTTCATTTCTTTACATTGGTTTTCTCCTTTCCTTCCAAAATATTTATGAAGAATAGTAATATTCCTTATTAATATAATAATAAAATAGCATAATAAATTAAAATGTCTTGCATGTCAGACATATTTGACATGACAAACTGATTAAATCCAACATGAGGATTATTATCATCCCAGAAACCTATTTCTGTCATGGCATCACGAGGTTTTAAATGTGAAGCTTCCACAATTGAGCTTTTCCCACTGCAATTGTTTAACTTCCTTTACATACCGAGTCTGGATTTTAAATTGCAGTTAACTGCTAGTAGCTACAATTTTAGCTGTTAGCTACAATCGAATTAACAATTAGCTAAATTTAGCCAAAGTAGTTATATTTAAATCTAATCGCATATGCATGTAGCAGCAGTTTAGTAAAGCTTAACCACATTGAGCTGAAGCTAGCTAAGTAGGCACAGTTAGCTAAATAAGTTTCAGTTAAATACATTTACATTCCCTTTAACGTTCATCTGATAAAATCTAGATTAAACTATGAATTCTTTAAAGCATTCCTACAGTTATATCATTTGGAATACTATCTTATTTAATTTAATAAATGGCCCTTTTAGCCTCAGTTTAGCATAGGCTAACTAATCTCTTGTTTAAATGTATTACTTAGTTAATTAAGTTGACCCATTTTCTTACATATTATCAAATGAACAAATGGGGACAATTACAATTTCAATAATTTTTACAAATTTGCTGATGTGTAAACAATAAAAGTTAGATGTAACAGATTGAAAATGTTGCCCCTTACTGTCAGCATTTTCTAACAGTTGGCTGTTGGGGAAGAAAGTAATAGTAAAAGTATTTTGGGGCCAACAGTAACAGCTCTATTCCACCCTTTTTATTTACTTTTCCATCAGTCTATCATCTAATTTAAACTAGAGACATAACATAAAAAGGCTGCCAACTTTTCACGAAACCTTGGAGTGAGATTTTGAAAGAATTTGGACAGGCAACCCTTGCCATGCTTCGATGGAGAGGCTATGAGTATAGGTGCAGCTATAAGTCGCAGGTTTTCAGAGGATTTAACAGAAACAAAGTGGCAAAATGTGGCATTTCTATAGCACCCTAAATGTTACTAAATAACATCTGTAGCTATGTGGATATTTTCACACAATATACATTATTTTTCATATAATCTGGTGATTTTCAGAGAATTGAAGTAAAGAAGAATGGGCCCTACTAAAATACTTGCCTCTTAAATATACTGTAAACCAGGGGTCTTCAACGTTTTGCAGGCCAAAGACCCCCAAACTGATGGGTAGGGGCCCCCTAATTATATATATTCAATGAAATCGTGTTATATTAAAGTGGTCCTTTAGTCACTCTATTACAGATGGAATAATGTAACAAAAGTAATTTCTCCCTGGGATTACTAAAGTATTTCTGATTCTGATTCCTGGTTGATGGGACAGGTGTTGTGAATGAAATGGTGCCCAGCTTGAAAGAGCTCCTGTGTGTCGCTGAATGTGTGCATTGATGACTAAAAAAGAAATCTTCTACCTCCATTTGTCTGTTTACTACAGTGCGTTGAATTCATGTTAATGTAGATTTAAAGACATTTCAATCAGTGGAAAAAAATGCATGGGGGGGAATATAAAAAAACAGTCTAATCAGCTATGCAGTACCTCTGTGGACCCCTAGGGGTCGCGGACCCCCTGTTGAAGACCTCCGCTGTAAACAAAAAATTTCATAACTGTGTTTATTAGTTATTCTCTGCAGTTCAAGTAAAATAAACAATGGGGAACTAATAAGCTATTGCTGGATTGTTGGTACTAATAAAGGAACCTGTGCAATTGAATCCTGTGCAAACTGCACTGAGTATGAATATTTGGTAATAGGCTAAGGATAAAATAAACTTAACTCATTATCTTATTAGATTTCAGACCTTGTAGGAAGCTGTAGATTTTTATAAAAACTCATAATAACACACAATAGCATTTCTGTGAATGTTTATTTATGTGATGGAAATTAAGTTTTTAAACATATTCAGTGGACCAAAATAAAGATAAATGAATAATTTAATTAATAATAAAATGAGAAAATCCCTGTGGTTCTCCTTCTGATATTGGACAACTGGGTTGTTCTGCACATCCTCTCTGTATGTGGTTGGTCTTTTCTTGGGTGTCTGATCTTTCGAAAAGAAAAAAATGTGAGGCATACCTGAAAGCTTTAAG